TTTTTTTTTTAAATAAAAAAGATGGAATGACTACTTATCTGGGCATATTTCCTGCTTTAATATTAGGCTACTGTCTTCTAGTTTCTAAATCATAGTTCATCTCCACAGTGAAAAATTCACTATGTTGGTTTTGTGGGCTAGCTGTGGGAAGCCTGCCACTATTTACAATAATGTTTAAAAAGCAGGTGAGTTAGCTTACACCTGTAATCCCAGGACTAGGGATTCTGGAGCAGGAGGATTGCCATGAGCTCAAGGCCAACCTGGGTAACACAGTAAGTTTCAGCATAGCATGAGTTAAAGAGTTAAAGACTATCTCAAAAAGCATAGATAGATAAATGGATAAATAGATGAATGGATGACAGAGAGACAGATTGATAAATAGGTGGAAAGATTAGACAAACAGATTGATAGGTAGATAAATGATAGATGGATGATAGATAAATGAGTGATAGATTGACATATAATAGGTAGATGATAGACAGATAGGTAATAGATGACTGATAGATGATAGATAGAGAGATAGATGACAAACAGATTAATAAATTGGTAGGTAGGTAGATGATAGGTTGACAGGTAGATAAATGGTATATATAGACAGATAATAGATACATGATAGATAGAAGACAGACAGGTAGGTGATAGACAGACAGATAAATAGATAGATATGCAAGCAAGCATAGGAATAAACAAAGTTTCAAACAAGCTTTTAGAAAAGAAAACCTTCTAAATTTCAGTTTCCCAAGTACACCTCCTTCCAGTGGCCACAGCAATAGATATAACAAGTTTTGTTGCATAAAACTATCTTCATGATCCCAGAAAGGCCAAGCAGCTCCCTAACTACAGCACATTAAACTCCTTTGTCCTCCTCCAGTGAAAAAGTCAGTCACAGATAAAGACTGAAGACAAGCAAAAGTGGTACTGCCACTGGAAACCATTCCCCGGAAGAGATGGGTTGCACAGAAAGCTCGTTTCTTACTTTCTAAGACTTTCTGAGATGGAGGAGTGTTCCTCTCCAGTGAGCCAAGTGAATCAGACTGCACTAAGGAACCAGAGCTCTCAGCAAACATGGAGTAGCTCATCATCAAGGCACAGAGAGGTGAGGCCTGGAAGGACATAAACGCAGTCTCTGCAGTCTTGGTTCCCTTTTCACTGTCTCAGGCCACAGGACTGGTTGAGCAAACATTAATCCTCTGAGGCCTTAGTCCTTTCTGCAGCAAGAGGGAGAAAGTGGGTGACCTCAGTCCCTGGCAAGCAGAAATCACAAAATCTCAACTCATGGTGCAAGTATCTTTTCAACAGAAGCTCATAAATCTTTATCAAAATATTAGGTCAGGAAAATGTTCAAGTATCAGTATCCAATCACAAAAGTTTCAAAACTTCTTTTCCCTTTAGTTATTCACTACAGCAATGAAATAAGTTGCTCACAGAAAACTGCATCCACCATGGAGCTTCTGCTGTGATGGGGCCAGGTCTGGACATCCACCAGCCTGCCTGCTCCTGACAATGTCACCAGGGAAACTGCAATGCAAGCTGGAGAGTCTAACTCATATCCAACAGACACATGCCACAAGTTTAACAGAACTCCAACTAACACTTACTTCTAATACTGAACCTCTTGAATGGAATCGCCGACTACAACTAAAAGCCATTAATGATTACAAGGGAGCATGAAAGAACAGCACCCAAGCATTCCCAAACCACTTTCCCTTCACAAACTTCCAGAACATTTCACAGTACCTGCGAATGAAGTTTTCTGTGGAGCTCGGAAAACAATGCGGCATCTGCTTCTCTCCTTTGTCGAATAACTGAAAATTTAGAAAAGGAATTAAGCCTATTAGTTGCACACACCATGATTCAGTGTTAAAAAATCTTTGTATCTGTGCTAAGAGACTGAGATGTGCTGAAAAGAATCCTGATCCCAGAATCCAAAGAACAGGACAAGGAGAGTTTTAGCAAGATCTGTTTGGTCAGCTCACCTTGCCTCACTGACATACATAAAACATGGAGACTCTCAGGCTGGGATAAAAAGAAGACTATCTACAAATACTGATCCACGAGGCAAACTACCCTCAACTTTACTAACTGGAAACAGCTACCTGGAAGGAAGGATGGGAAGTACAGTTAACTAGGAAATCATGAATACACAGGGTCATCAAACATGACAGTTCAGCTGATTTAGAAGCCACATTCTATCCAGGTGGTGCTATTTAACCCTAGCACTCAGAAGGCAGAGGCAGGCAGATCTTAAGTTCAAGGCCAGCCTCGCTGACCAGCCCAACCTACACAGGGGAAAAGACCTCAAAAAAAAAAAAAAAAAAAAAAAAGTCATATCCTAACAGTTCTGCTAAGATTCCATTTGGCTTCAGTATAAAATAATCACTGTTTCAAACTAAATATCAATTCATTTATTATTGCTAATTTTATTTTCGATATTTTTATTGTTCAGTTATTACTGTTAATTATTATGTGAGTTCCTTGAAACTCTACAGTAATGACATGACTGTGACACATACTGGCAATAAGCTCACCAGGAGACTATGAAACCAAAATTCACAAAGGAAATTATAGGACAGCCAACAACAGTGCTCTTAGTGGGAATTTAGAGTGTAAGCAGCTTGAAGCTCAGAAGGAGTTCACACTTACATGGGGAACTTGACAGGTATAAAAGGAGAGTAAGTTTCAATATTTAGTAACAGGCTAGAAACCCCATTGTTGTTTTTCTACTTATTTAACTAATGAGATAAGGTCCAGGAGCCCTGGGGGTATCTGAAACCTCCCCCAATACCAAGCCCCATATCTTTCACCTGCAGGAAACACTTTGATTTTCTTCATCATACCTGATTTACAGGGCTCAGTATCCTTATGCTTTGGGACCACTAAGAAAAACGAGGCAGCCCGTCATGGTGGCGCATGACTATAATCCTAGCTTTTTGGGAGGTGAGATGGCCAAGTCTGAAGCAAGTCTGGCCTACAAGAAGCACAGAGGAGTGAAAACACAGCCCTTGCTCTGGTGACTGAGAAGGCAGCTGCATGACCAATGGGACAAGGTGGGAAGCATACAAAGCAGGGACATGCTGAACAAAGAGACGACTCCTAGGCCAGGCAGGAAGGAGTGGGGTGCTATAAGACTTCAACACATCCCTTAAGATGATAAATCATTTAAAATCTATGGGTCACTTGTTTCTGGAACGTACTTTCCCACTACTATTTTCCGACCATAGTTGAGCATGGGTAACTTAAAACCAAGAAAGTAAAGCAGCTAACAAAGAAGCCTACTGTAGGCTCATGCTGAGCCACACCCAGGCTGCCATTCTAGCTGCTTGGTCCTTAGGGTCACATTGCTCAAGTCTTCCACAGGCAGATCTAATCATTCTGGAACCAAAGCCTCAGCTCTGTCACCAGCCAACACTCCCAGACTCTGTGTTACAGCTCTCAAAGATAACATCCATAGAGATCACTGGCTTGTGCAGTTCCTAATGCAACAGCTCAGGGCAGGACACTATGTTTTCCAGAATGGCTTCCTAGGAGTGCTACTGGCAGACTGGCAAACATTTAGAAACAAAACTCAAAGGCCACTTCATTTGGACAGTTTAACAGTAGCCCAGTAGGAAGAAGCTGCTAATATGCAAGGCAGGTTTTTAAGTCCCACTGGCAGGCCCTGACTGCAGCATGCTCACACATCCGCAAAATACAGTCTCCAAATCAGGACAAGACACCTCTCCCACAGACGGCTGAAGACTGCCTGCCACCCACAGCCTAGACTCCACAAAGCACTCCAGAGCCTGAGAGGGGTGGCAGAGCAGACCTCACTCAACGTAACTGCTATTACCAAACAAGTGCCACGAATAGAAACCTTCTTCTCCAGGGGCCACCAGTTAAGAGAGCCTGAAGTGCCATCTCAGAAGTAAAATGCTCACACAGCTCTGAAGTACTGCAAGTCTGATGGCAACAATGAAAGAAGCAGTGATGCCTCACAGAGTATGCTTAACTGTTATGCTAGACACTGGAAATCAGAAAACAGGGAGGGACAGCGAGTCCTTTATCTTTTGTATTCTAAAACTAGATTACAGTGTTGTAACACATTTAAAATAAACCTCCACTATGTTTTCATAATTTTAATGCCAAGAAAAATTGAACTGTCCTTATTTTTAATAGTAGCTATAATTAAAACAGACTTGAGAACAGCATACAATCATACACATATGTATATATTGGTATACATGCAAACACACATATACAGATATACACATGCACACATGTGTGATATATAAATAAACACAGACAAGCACATATACACAAGTAAGTGTATACCCTTAAGCATGCACACACATGTGACCATGCATACATATAAACACGTGCACATATATACATGCACAAATTCATGCAGACATACCTACGTATATGCACATACACATGTCATATAGGGAATCTTAAATTTTCACAAGTTTCATAATCCAACAGACTACAGTTAAGAAAAATACTTACGTTCTTTCTTGATTTTTTCAGCTACTAGAAATTCGTCTCTTTCAACAGTTGGGGCAAAGTTGCTGCCAATGACTCTCACAGCAAACTGGAACTGCTGGGCAACATCAGCTGGAAGGTGAGCAAAAGGATGCAAGTTATAGCTGGACAGTTTCATCACCAGAGTACACAGGTCAAGAGAGCAATCCACTTAACTAGTCTTAACTAAGAGGACAGAAAAGCTATATTTAATCAATGACTTCAGTGAAGAGTTCTATAAAGTTTGGGAAAAGATAGCAGAGATACAGAAAAATCCTAAAGGAAAACCAAACTGAACCGGTAGCCAATTTAAAAGGAGCAACTAAAGTCACAGGATGGGCAAGGGACTTAGGAAGTAAGCTGGTCAGAGGCCGCTGAGCAGTCCCAGCTCCTAGCAAGAAAGAGGCAGAATCTGGGCGCATGCTTCTACACTCTATGAGTTACAGCATAGGTTCATCTCTGCTTTCTTAAAAAAAAAAAGAGAGAGAATAAAGCAGTTTAAATAAGGAAGACACAAATTTACCAAGGCAAAAGTGAAGCCAGAGAGGAGAGCTAGAGAACAGATGGGTGTGTGGCACCGACCTAAGGATGATGACACCGGAAACCAAATGTCTGCAAGGCCAGCAACGGGAAGGGGGTGGGAGGGAGTTTCTTCTCTGCTGCTGTGATAAATATTAACGAAAGCAGCTCAAGGAGAATAGGCTTATCTGACTCACAATTTTACGTTACAGTCCACCGCTGCACGGAAACCAAGGGCAGGGACTTGAACCAACTGGTCACATAACATCCAGTCATATTTAAACATAATATTTAAAATTGTATGCAGGCGTCCAGTTCCCTTCCTCCACTCCCACACAGCCCAGGCTCCTCTGTCCAGGGAATGGTGACACCACAGTAGGCTGGACTTCCCATAAATCAAGGTAATTCTCTATTGACATCTGAACAGGCCAACCTAGACAATCTGCCACGGAGACTCTTTTTAGGTGATTCTAGATTGAATCAAGGTGATACATACAGCTAATCATCACAATTTCACCTCTTGCCAACTTGACACATAAACATATCACTTTAAGCCATAACCTTCTACTCTTTGTCCCCAAAGTCTCCTGTTATCCTCTGTGGTGGTTTCAGTAGAAGTGACCACGATAGGCTCATATATTTGGATGTCTGATCGGAAGTAGTGCTGAGAGAGATTAGGAGGTATGGTCTTTTTGGAAGAAGTGTGCCACTGGGGGTGGGCTTTGAGGTTCCAGAAGCCCAGGCAGGAAGTGGTTCTTGCTCTTCCTGCTGCCTGCAGATCCAATGTCGAACTCTTAGCTCTTTCTCCCACACCATGGCTGCATTTCTTTCTGTCGCCATGACTCCCACCACGATAATGGATTAAACCTTAAACAAGCCCCAACCCAGTGCTCTCCTTTCTAAGAGTTGCCATGGCATCTCTTCACAGCAACAGAAAACTGCCTAAGACAGAAGTTGGTAATAGAAGGGGGATGCCGTTGTGATAGGCCTGACCATGCTGCTTGTTGGCAGAGTGTTAACTTTGGGACTGTGGACCATGAAAGCAGCTGAATGTTTTATGTAGGGCTTAATAGGCCATCCTAATCAGAACATGGAAGATAGTTGTGCTAAGAGCACTGTAGATATAATGGCCTCACTTAAGAGGTTTCAGAGAAGAATATTAGTAAGTGGCTTCCAGACTATCCCTGTGATAGCTTGACAAGTATCTGATATGTTTTGTTATTTTGTTTTTTTGGTTTGTTTGTTTGCTTTTTGGTTTTGATGTGGCTGCTTTTTTGCCCTGGTCTAAAAAAAAATCTGCCTGAGGGTAAATTGAAGACTTTCAGATTAATGACATTGGCAGAGGAGATTTCAAAAGAGTCTAGTATTGACTCTTGCATGGTTATAATCAATAATAAAAAGGTACAAGCCAAACAAGGAGAAACACAAAATGTACAGTTTGAGGAGAAAGGGAGTACCAGGAAGTGTAATAGAGCTAAATCTTGTGCTCAAGGAAATAAAAAGCAAAGAAAACCTTGATGCTAAATGGAATATAGGGAGGGGTAACCTCAGCCAAACACAATAAAACAAAACAAAACAAAAAAATCACCAGTTAAGCTTCCTCCTTGTGAAAAGGAATTAGAAAAAAACTGAAGCAGGAAGAAAACCACAAAAAACAGAAAGGTAGTAAAAATGTATTTGAACAAGGAGGCCAAGTTCCACATGGCAACTTCAGCCATGTGGTTTTGTTTTAGCTTTAGAGTCAGGTGGTTATGGAATCTCCCTAGAAAAGCTGCTGAGGCCAGGCATGTGTCAGGGGTGTGTCTGCATGGAGACCCTGAGAGGCCATGGCAGAAAGCTGTGAAGGTGAAGCCTGAATCACCTTGGAGACCCCAGGATGTTGGCGATGCCAGGGCCATGGGGACACCTGCAGAGGAAGGCTGCTAACAGACCAGCCCAAGAGCAAGAAGTGAGTTGCAGTCAACAATGACAAAAGGAGTTGGAGGTCTGAAGAGCCCTTTCACATAGACATGGAGGTGCAGAATTTGAAGTTTGCTCTGCTGGTTTTCGGTCTTGCTTTTGTCCAGCATTTCTTCGTGAGGCTTCCTTTCCTTCATTTTGGAATGGTAATATATATCCTGTGCCATTGTATACTGGAAGTATGTGATATGTTTTGTCTTTTTGTTTTTGTTTTTTATTTTACAGGGGCTTACAGTTAAGAGATTGTCACAAGTCTTAGAAGAGACTTTGGACTTTTAAATAGTGTTGAGACTGTTACAGACTACGAAGTCTTTTGAAGTTGGACTGAAAGCACTTTTGCATTATGGTATGACTACAAGGCTATGGGGGCCATGGATTAGAATATAATGATTTGAAAAGGAATGGGCCCCATAGGCTCATATATTTGAATGCTTGGTCAATAGGGAGTGGTGCTACTTGAAAGGGATTAGGAGGTATGGCCTTGTTGGAAGAAGTATGTCACTGGGGGTAGGCTTTTAGGTTTCAGAAACCCAAGCCAGGCCCAGTGGCTCTTGCTCTTCCAGCTGCCTACAGATCCTTCTGCACCATGTCTACCTGCCTGCCAGCATGCTTCCCACCAATATGGTAACAGACTAAACCTTTGAAACTGTAAGCAAGTCACAATTAAATGTCCTCCTTTATAAGACATGCTATGGTCATGGTGTCTCTTTATAACAACAGAACACTAAGAAACCCTAATAATGTAAATGTAAAGTACAGTCCAATTTTAAGTCTCCAAAGTCTTGAAAATTCTTAGCATTTTAGAAGTTCAAAATGCTGAATTGTCAACTCCTATAGAAAAAAAAAAAAAAAAACAACTTATATGCTTCCAACATATAATGGCACAAAATAAAACATTCCAATTTCAAATTAGAATAATCAAGAACACAGCAAGAAATAATCAAACTGAATTGCCAAACCCAATATGGCCAAAACCAAATACTGCAGCTCCATGTCCAGAATCTGGGGCCCATGATGAAATTGACTGGGCTCCAAAGGGTTCAGGCAGCCCCATTCCTTCAGCCCTTCCACTTGTGACACACACAGCTTCTCTTTCAAACTTAGTCCAGCTCCGCTTCATGCCTACAGCTCTTCCGGGCACATGTCCTGTGATCCTGGCATCCCCAACACTCTGGGGTTTCTATACTTACACTTCATCTTCACAGTAACACACATGGCCTCTGAGGGCCCCCGCCACACAGTGCCTGACCTCAGCTGCTCTCTGCCACTCCTTCCTCCTTGTGTCTTTCATACTTTCAAAAGCAACAGCACCTAAGCAGAGCCACCATAAGGAGGTGTAGTCTGCCCCCGTGGACCATAGCTGTGTCAGCTTCTGTGTGCTGACCCTGAGGACACACTTTCCTAATGTCCCCGTGCAGACCATCAGGTTTCTCCTTCATGGTGCTCATCTCTGTAACAGCCACAGCTGCTTTTCTGTCTGCACTTCCATGTCAAAAACTTGAAGCTTGTCCACACACCTTTCTAGCAAATTATGTTTAAATCAAACTTCATTCGAAATCTCACAAAACTGGCAAAATAAAGCCAGATTCTTAATAAAATATCACAGGATTGTCCCTGGCCCATTTTCTGACACAGTCCTTCTTCTCAAGAGCTAAGCTTCCATTTGTCCTCATTTTTCTCAGTTTCATTTTCCAAGCTCCCAAGAGAAAGCCCACTAAACTACTCACAGCATTCAATGGCTTTTTCTAGCCCCAAATTTTAAACTCTTCCACATTCTTCCCACAAATAGTTCCAAAGTCATAAAATCACAGTCAGGTTTTTCACAACAATATTACCCACTCTTGGTACCAATTTCTTAGTTTCTTTTTCCTTTACTGTGATAAGAGACTTTGACAAAAGCAATTTAAGGGAGAGTGGGTTTATTTTCACTCAAAAGTTCAAGGTACAGTCTACCACAGAAGGAAAGTGAAGGCAGCAGGACTTGAAGTCATACCACACACGCTCACAGTCAAAAGAGAGTAATAAATGCACACGCTACTGTTCAGCTCACATTCTTCACTCTTAGGCACTCCAGGAATTCATGTGGCAGGAAGAGTGCCACCCACAGTGAGGAGGTCTTTCCACTTACTTCAATTAATATAAACAAGAGAGTCCCCCATAGTCATGCCCATGGGCCAACCTAATCTAGATAATTCCTCATAGACATTCCCTTCTCAGGTGATTCTCTATTGTGTCAAAATTAAAACTATCCATCCAGAGGGACAATGTCGAGAAAAAGCATTAAATGCATAATATACTCTGCAGAAGCCAGTGAGGCTCAGCAAGGAAAGGAGTTGCATTTTCTCAGCAGACAGACACCACTGGAAACAGCTGCATATATGGTGGAAAAGGCAATGCCTGCCCAGTACCCCTGACAACCACTGATTCCCATCCAGGCAAACCTCAAAGGATTTGACACACAGCAAGTCAGCAGAGAATGATCAAAGTCAGAGCCTGACCTCAGAGAATAAGAGAGACAGGTGAAGCTCCCAGCAACAGCAGGGTCTCCAACAATCCTTCCACGAAGAAGAAGCATGGCACCCAGCTTAAATACCACCACACATTTGAGGACAGCATACAAAACAAAGCAAAGCTGCAAACAGCAAGGAACGGGAAGGGAGGGCAAGAGAAAGCTTCTGGGCCAACTAGCCTGGTGAACACAAAAAACCAAGAGGTCCTGTTTCCAAAAGAAGGAAAGTGAGGACTAGAATCAGAGGCTGTCCTCTGATCTCCACACATGCACGTGCTCTCACTCTCATACGTGAATGAACACACACACACACACACACACACACACACAGATTTTTTTTAAAGTAACTGCAATTAGCCATCATATATTCTCCAAGACTAAGCAAAAATCAGTGTCAAATCTGAAAAATCACCAAGTACCTTAGCTAAGGTTACTATTGCAAGTCTGGAGCTAAGCTGCCTTGGTCATCTATCCTTAGCCCTCTTAAAGTCCATTCACTGTCCACCTCCGTGTTTGAACTACCATCCACCCTTGTGACTATTAGGTAAGTGTTTTGGAATACACAGGAACCTCAGACTCCACCAATCCTAAGACGAGAATGTCATCAAATAGAACCTGAGGCTAATAACAGACATTCTCCACTTTGCTGTACTCAACCTACCTGATGTTCACTCTAATATATTTGAAAAGTACCTTGATTCATGACTTTATTTTGTTTTTGTTGCTGTTTTGGTTTTGTTTCTTTGTTTGTTTGTTTGTTTGTTTCTCTCTGTAGCCTTGGCTTTCCTGGATTCCCTTTGTAGCCCAGGCTGGCCTTGAACTCACAGAGACCTGCCTGAGCTGGGATTACAGGCGTGCAGCACCCAGCAGGTCATGACTTTATTTTGTTCTGATACTAAATTTCACGAAACTGTTACCATGTTGAAACAAGGCATTACTGGTAACCTGAATCTATGTTTCCAGACCGCAGTCACTTATGTTTCACTCCAAAATTGCCTCTTACTCCCTTTGAAGTGACAATTTTGTCACTGCATCAACAATATTATTATTATTACTATTAATTACTATAGTAATTATTATTACTAACTGTAACACTGCACCTCAGGAAGCAATATGCTCAGACCAGAAGACATGGTGTTGGGCAAAAGAGAACCATGTGTGTACAGTTTTCTTGTAAATCTAAACCATTCTAAGATATTAGGTGCTTTAAAAAAAAATACACTGCCATCAGGCGCCTTCCTTCACAAATGCTGGCTCTTCCTAGTCTGGAGTAGCCCATGCTGTCAATATTCTTTAAGGGTTCATTTCAACACTTTCAGTCTTCAAGACAGGAATAAAACAAGTACAGTTGGGGGAGGTAGTTCCTTTGGTCAGCTCAAAAATGAACCTCAACTTGTACCATTTAACAAAAAACTAACTCACATCACACAAAACAATATAATATTACCTCTCCTAGGGAAAAAGGAAAAGAAAGAAATCTTTATGACTTTGGATTTGGTAACAGTTCTTAACATGAAATCATGATCATTTCAAAATATATTTTTATCTTATCTATGGGGACAGAGGCTGGGAGAAAGACAGCACACTAGAAAGCAAAGGACCACTTTCAGGAACAGTCCTGGCTACAATCCTGTAAAGAAAGCTGTCTCTCTTGCTGTTTTAATAACTGAGCAGCAGAGCCCAGACTCGACGGTTCTTGAGCTTCCAGATGATTCTCCTGTCTCTGCCTCCCATACTGCCTTAGAAGCATTGTTAATACAAATGCATGCCACGAGCAGGGCTTTTTACATGGGTTCTGGAGACTGGAGGGGAAGCTCTTTGCCTGTTGAGCCATCTCCCTGCCCCTCCCCTCTTTTCAGAACAGATAAATTGGAATTCACCAAGATTTGGGGGCTAGAGAGCAGTTAAGAGCCCTGTTGCTCTTCTAGAAGTGAAGAATCCAATGCCCAGGCCACCTACAACTCCAGTTCCAGGAGACCAGGCGCCTCTTCCAACCTCTGCAGACAATGCACACACACACAGTGCACACACGGACACACAAGCAAATACCTATCCACACAACTCTTTTTAAAAGCCTTTAAAAATATTAACATTTCTGCTCTACAAACAAACAAACAAAACAACTATTAGAGTTAAAACGCTGGAAAAAAAAGTTTTCAAAACACAAAACAAAGGACTTGTACCCAGAAAAATAAAGGACATTCAAAATTATAAAGGTGGAAGAAGCAATCAAGCAAGAACATAAGCAAACACTATGAAGAAAACTAAACCAAAAAAAAAAAAAAAAAGCATTAGGAAGAGATCTGAATGTCCAAAAGAGAAGTCATGAAAAGATGCTCAACAGCATAAGGAAAAGGAGATGAAAACAATGAGCTATTGCTACAACACCTGTCAGATTACAACAAGAACAGAGAACAAAGTCAACTCAGCAAACCACAACTCCATCACAGCAAAGACAGCATCATCTTTAAGGAGCTTTGTGGAATATTTTATCCTGTATCTCTCTGAGAGACCAGGGATTCCCAAGAAATGATAAATGGGGGAAACAAGAGGACACAGAATTTTGCTAAAAATCAACGTTTCAATTAATCAAAAGGGACCTTAGTGTAAAATTCAAATTTAGAAGTACATAATGAATAACTTCAAAATCCAGTTACAACTATGAGTTTCTTCCTGAAAAGTAAAATATTTGGACCAATGCAATAAAGGAAAAATGATGTTATGAACGTTAAGTCATAACTAAGAACTGTTTATCTGATTTCACCTATGACTGGGACACTCGATCAGAAAGGTAAGCTGCCCTCCACTCACACTCTCCCCAGATATTTGAATGACCCTCTCTCACTCTTACCAGGTCGCTGGGATAGCTACTTCAATTTCCTTCCTTCCTTTCCCACTAAGCTCCTTCTTCCCACACAGCGATTTTCACTCACAAACAGTGTTCACTAACTCACTAGTCAACAGTTCCTCCACTGACAGGAGGAGCATCGCTTTGGCATCACCGGGACAAGGGGACCTCAAAGATTCTTACATGAATAAAGTACACAGTTAAACATTACAGGGTATAAAGCAAGAACTGCATCGAGTCAATGGTTTAGTAATTCATCCTCTACCTTGACAAGTTGTTACACAGGCTGTTATAAATTATGAAAGATCAAAAGGCTCTCTCAGTTCTTAAAATGCAATTTTGTTCAAAGTCTTCCTTGAACACCCGCGCGATTTATCTCTTAACATTTTTGAGGCGTAAGGAGCAAGTAACCCAGTCATGTCAATTACTAAAACGTTCCCTCACGACGCGTTCCTACTCATCTCCAAAATGAGCTTCAAGGAACGAGATCCTTGATCTTTTTCCCCCCAACTATCACGGCTACAATACAGGTAAAGTGGACAGAAGTGCCTTGAGGTCTATCTAGCTTCATAGACGCATCATTCGCTTCTTGAACTCTCCCGGAATAAGGTAGCATAATCCAACCCTGGACTCAAACCAGAGGCAAAAATGACAGCGGAGTGGAAAGCACGCAAAAGCAGAGCTGCAGTCCGTGGTGTGGTCTGGACACGGGAGCAAAAACCAAACCCGACCGCTACAGGAGGCAGGGACACCCGCGCGCCGCACCCCTTTCCACCCCCGGGGCCAGGGATAACAGCTACCCGGCCGGCCAGGGTCTTGGCGCTCCCCGCTCCACAGCCCTCAGCCCCGCCGCGCGTACCTTCGCTGCGGCCCAGGATCCGGCAGCACAGGTTCTGCAGCAGAACGTTGGGCGACTTCTGATCCGGGGTCGCCATTACCGCGCCCGGACTGCGCACCGCAGCCTCCCCGCGCCCCAGGATCCCGCTCCCGGGCTACGGCGCCGCCATATTCGCGGAAGCGGCAAAAGCGCGCGACTCCCATAATGCACCGCTTCCCGCGCGAGGCACGCATGCGCCCGCTGGGCGGCGGCGCTCTCCGCTGCTCCGCGCCGGAAGAGCGTCTGAAGGATAGTGGCTGGGTTACTGCTCGCGTAGCGAGGCGTCCGGGCGGCGAGGCGCTTCCGCACCTTGCGGTCTGTGCGCTGCATGTGAACAGCAGCGGCTGGAGTCGCATCTGGATGCGGAGTCCGAGCGCGCGTGAGCCTAGGACAGTGACAGGTACGCAGGCGGCGTCCTGACTCCGACGCAGAGCTAATTCTCCGGGGTCTGGAACCTCAGCCCCATGACGTCACCGGGACGTTAGCCTTCAGCGGCTGGTGAGACCCGGAGGCTTGACTGAGTTCTCGCGGAGCGCTGCCGTGTTGAAAGCATCGGATGCGGACCCGAGAAGCTCCATGGAGTCTGTGGAACGCAGGAGAAGCAGAGCCCTCGCCCCTTGGGAGCCCAACTCCGCAGCTCCTGCCGGGAGGCACGGTGGTCGGCAGAGGAAAGCTCCCTTCTTGACCTTTGAGTCAGGACTGTATAGCAGTGGAGCTCAGAGGTGGCTTCCTGGAAAGCTGCCCGTTATTCGTCTTCTGCACGCAGACCGCGTGGCCACTCTTTCCTGCGTGCTCTGTGGTGTACAGCATGCGACAAACTCCCTTGACACATGCCACCTGATGAAGCTCAGCTAGTTGAAGACAACAACGGAAAACTGCAAGGGGAGACTCCCGGCTTCCGCCCACATTACCACTGACTGCAACTCTCACAAGCAGAGACTGCCTCAACTATTCTTAGCCCATTCTTCCTAGCTCCAACCTACTTTATACTCCCCACACACATGATGTTCCCTAGGATATGGACATAGTGACTGATTTCCTGATAGGAGGAAACCATTCCTGCTGTTTCCTCCACCCAGGAGGCATTAGCTAACCTTCCAGTGTTCCACTTCCATTTCCATCACACAAGTAACCAGTTCTCCCTCTTCAGTCCCTGTAGATTATGTTTTGCTGACTGGGTCCTCACGCCATCCTTGGTAATAGGAGTAATCCCGGAAAGTAGTCTTAAGGTGGCTTTCTGGACTAAACACACATCTAACTGCAGCTGTGCTGACAATCTTTTGAGGGTGGCCAATGAGCCAGGAAAAGCACCAGAGTGGCTTGCTATTAGGTGTGGCTGTTTGAAGCAACGTGCCAGCTGATAACAGCGCTGAAAGTGAAGTAGTGCTCCAGGCAGTTGTTCAGATACTAACATGTCGAAGACAGTTGGCAGCTGTTGCCCCCAAGCCTGGCAACTCCAGTTCTTCAGGACCCACATAGTAGAAGGAGAAAAGCAACTCCCTCAGTTGTTCCTATGACCTGACCTCCACATGTGTGCTCACACCACACAAAATGAATTTTTAAAAACTTTTCTAAGTAGCATAGATAGCATGATGACAAAAAGTTTGACCCACCAGGAAAGTATAAAAATGCACGTATCTAGTAATGAATCTTCAAAGCACATACACCAAGAGAGGCTTTCTAGACAGTGGGTGAGGAGATCATCAGACCTTCCACACCATGCCTTGTCTGAGTCAGTCAAATCAGGACACTGTAAATCAACTAAGCCAGTGACAAGAACACTCAGAAGCCAGGCATGGTGGCACACACCTTTAATCTCAGCACTTGGGAGGAAGAGGCAGGTGGTCTCCAAGTTCAAGGAAAGTCTGATCTACATCGTGAGACAGCCAGAGCTACAAAACAGAGAAATCCTGCCTGAAAGGGGGGAGGGGCAGGGAGATGGGTCAGTGGGTAAGAGCACTAGCCAGTCTTCCAGAGGACCTGGGTTCAGTTCCCTGCACCTACATGGCAGTTCACAACCATCTCTAACTCTACTCTCAGCATACCTGTTGCCTTCTAACTACCTCAGGCACCAGGCATATGCATGGTGCATGCAGGCAAAACACATAAAATAAGTGAATCTATATATGCACATATATAAAGCACTAGCAGCCCTCTTGGCTGGCTGCTTCAGCCCAGGTCGAGGCCCAGTCAGTGAGGACCGCAGTGTTGCCCAGGCATCGGATTTAGCCCACAGAAAGCAGTCTGTGTAAGGGACATGTAGTTCAAAGCTATGCCAGGGAAGAAAGGCTGGGTGGGAAACCGCAGATATGTCAGTCCATAGTAGGGTTACTTGACCAGAACACTCTATGCTGACAGGATTCATTTTGTTGGTTGGCATGGCTGGGTTCAGCATCACTGTAGGTACTTCTCTGGATGATATGAATTAGCTTTCCACTGCTCTGATAAAATGCCTGAGAGATCATTTTAAAAGAGGTAAGCTTTATTTTGGCTCATGGTTTCAGTCTAAGGTTGCTTAGCCCATTTTTTTTTTTTTTTGAGTCCTGGAAAGCAGTACATCATAGCAGAAGAGGGATGCTCAATTCATGATGTCCAGGAAGCAAAGCAGGAGAGAGGAAGAGTCTGGTGGGTGGGAGGAGCACACCAGCAGTGACCAACTTCCTCTACTAGGCTCCACCCCCTAATAGCCCATTAGGCTATTAAATTCCATTGATGGGTATCTTATTTCTTTTGTTGCTGTGATGAAATACTCTGGCCATAGCAACCTATGGGAGAAAGGTTTCATTTATTTATTTTGACTCAGTTCTATGGTACAGTCCTTGTGGCAGCAACTTGAAGCAGTTGGTCACATTACATCAACAGGAAACAAAGATGTCAATGTCCATGCTCAGTTAGCTTTCTTCCTTATTGCAGTCTGGGACCCAAACCCAGAGAATGGCACCACCCATCATGGGGGTGGCTCTTCCCACTTTAACCCAATTAAATAAATAATCTATCACAGGAATGCTCAGAGCCTCCTAGGTGATTGCAGATCCTGTCAGTTGACAATCAGTACTAACTTCACACCCATTGATTGGATTCAAGCCTTTACAGCCCTTCTAAACACTGCTGCATTGGCTGAGCCTTCAACAAGTGACCTTTGAGCAGACATTTCAGATCTGAAACACAGGTCTTTGAAGAACACTCATTCCCATTTCCCAGTGGAGTCAAGCTTCATCCATCCCACAGAAAACCTGAATAAAAAGAGCAAAAAGAAAAAAAAAAAAAAGCTGACCTTTAAGCAAGACAGCTTCTACAGAGAGACCTACTCTTCAGATTTCAGCCCTGCTAGCTCCACACCATAGAGATAGTTCCTTAAAATAGTCTCATGTACATGCATACATGAATGTCTGAGATGAGCATCCTATAAAATGCTAGCTGACAAGAACTGGGTGGGACCTCAGCAGGACCCCAGACTCAAGAGAGACATAAGACTTGTTTGAATGTGTTTGTAACCCCCACACAGGTCTGTCGGTGTAGAATGCAGTCCTTATAGGCTCTGCCTGAGTCAAGGCAGGTATATAAGCTGTGAAGACACAGAGGAGACCTGAGAAGGCAGGTATAAAAATTAGATGAGAATTTAAAATGAGAAAAAGCAGTTACCCAACACAAAGAGCCAGTTAAGCAGTTTGAGTCCACAAAAAAATTTTTTTACAAACTTAGAAACACATGGAGTAATAAGAGCAGTGGCAGTGTGGGGGCTCATGCCAAAGGCACTGAAATGAGCACTGAGGACAAAGTCTCACTAAACACACAGATCCTTAAACAAACAGCCAATGCTCAAGAAATCTGTAACTCCATAACCCTGTGTCTGTTTAGAAAATGTGATAATAAAAGTGAGGAGCCAGTGAGATGGCTCAGCTGACAAAAGCAGATGCTGTGGGAGCCTGGCCAGCCGAATCTCTGGAACCCATGTTATGATGGAAGAAGACAAGGGACCTCATAACGTCGTCCTCTGCTTTCCATACATATCCCGTTGTAAGCACACATCTGTACTCATGTCACACAGTGAGCTTTGGCTGGTAAACATTCGAAACTCAGTGAATTTGAAAAAAGTGACCAACTCCCCCTCATGTCTCCAGAGAGGAACATCTACAGAGATGATTTGGGATTCTGCATGGGAGGTTTTCCTGTCCTCTCCCATCCCCTTATTTAGTCAAGAACTTGTTTGTGTCACTGCAGCAGCTATTTCTCAGCACTACAACTGAATATCTGAAAAGAAGCAACTTCAGGAGGAAGTATTCTAGCCAACAGTTTGAGAGCATAGCCATGGTAGGAAAGGCAAGGTGGGGGTGATTCCAGGCTGCAGCAGCAAGATCAAGAGGCCACTTGCTCACATCTCAGTGGTCCAGGAAACAGGACATACAGTAGGGTAGGCCTACCAGAGTCCTATTCTTTCCAGTGTTTCCATAGTTTTCCAAAGTAGTGGTACAAGCTGGCAGCCAACTGTTCAAACACAAGCCAGTAGGTACATTTTGTATCCAGACTTCCAAATTACAACATCTTTATTTGAATACATCAGACTATTATATAGTACTATCTCATTTTATTGGCCATATATACACAAAACCCGTTACAGATGTAGCCTATGGCAGTTCAGTCTCCAAGTGGGTTCCCTACTAAGGGGAACAGGAGCTGTCTCGGACATGAACTCAGTGGCTAGCTCTTTGATCACCTCCCCCTCAGGGGGGGTGAAGCCTTACCAGGCCATAGAGGAAGACAATGAAGCCAGTCCTGATGAGACCTGATAGGCTAGGATGAGATGGAAGGAAAGGAGGACCTCCCCTATCAGTGGTCTTCCAGAGGGGCATGGGAGGAGAAGAGGGAGGAAAGGCAGGATTGGGAGAGGATAAGAGAGGGGGCTACAGCTGGGATACAAAGTGAATAAACTGTAATAAATTTAAAAATAAAATTTAAAAATCTCAAAAAATTAAAATAAGTGGGTTTGGTTTTTTTGTTTTTGTTTTGTTTTGTTTTTGTTTTTGTTTTTGTTTTTGTTTTTCTACAGAAAGTTCTACAGTAAGCTCTGGGCATAAACCACATTCACCTGTGGAGTCCCAGGGCTGTAGCATTGACAAATTAGAAAACTGAACCCAGAAAGCT